GAAAAGATAGTTATTGCAACTTTCTCATTTACTTGCATTTGTTGCTTCTGCTTTTCTGTTCTGGGCAATGGGCTTATAAGACATAAGATTCTAAAAATGACAATGGGTTAAAAAAAGCAAGAAAGTTCTTCCAGTAAATAACTAAGACCAGCTTCTGTTATTATGCAGGTCCTCAGTCAAATATGTATCAGAGACTTTTATCATGTAAAATTCAGCAGGCACCTGCACACACAGTTCTCGAATGAACAAACGTGCTGCATACAGATGGAGAAGATATAAACTGCAATGCACTTAAAACAAAAAGAATGTTACAGCAGCAACCACTCACTTCAGTATAGTATAACGGATTTTTGAAGCAAATAGCCGAAAGTCTGAGATCAATAGTCCTCAATGTGATTAAGTTACAATGTTTAGCTTAATCCTGCATTATTCAAGAACCATAAAGGAATCATGTTACTTTCTAAATCAAACAGGTTCCACACAAAAAAAGCAATTTATTAAAGGAGAACTATGGGGTCAGTGTTTTTCCCCATAGTTCTCCTACTACGGTAGGAGAACTATCCTACTGAGACCGCCGCAGCCGGGACAGATCCCAACATTACTGTCGAGATCCACCCAGCTGGCTATGCCTATCTAGAGGCAGAGCCAGCTGTCCCCGCCCCCTCTCCTTTCCGTTCCTCCATTCAGTCCTGGAGGATCGGAGCGGGGAGGGGGGGGGGATCCCTGCAGGGAGCTGTGAGTGACAGTCACGGATCTCTGCAGGGACATGTTCAAGAAGTGAGCGAGTGGTATGTGTTTGCTCACTTCCCGATCTATTGAGCCAACGTGTGACAGTTTCATTGTCACACGTGGGCTCGAACTATGAGGTTGAGTGATTTTCAAATCACTCACCTCATAGTTCTCCTTTAAGGCTATTCTGGATGTACATTCTTACTAAAGGCATCAGTTTTACCCAGCTGCTTAGTTCTATGAAAATCAGAAGACACAACAGTGCAACTTTTCAAAAACAGGATTTACACCAGACCAATCCAAGCACAATTATATAGGCCATCTATTCCCTCGGATTGTCCCTCGGACGTATTCGGATTGTCCATTCAAAACAGACTCTGCGCTAATCACACAGCGTCCAGTGTGCGGTGACCCGGCACCAGTATTGAAGAGCTGATTGCAGCACATGGCACTGTGACATTCTGTTCAGTTTTATGGGCACAGCAGGGTATGAGACGGTACGTGCTGCACTGAAAAAAAGTAAGACATGCCTTACTTTTTTTCAGCGCACACCATCGTGTTGCTACCGCAACGTAGTGGAGTGAACGGGCACCGTCTGTGACAAGGCAAATTGTCTTATCTTGCATTGCGGCTGCGCTGGAAACAACGGCCAGCGCATCTCCAACGCAGATGGTGTGAATGGATCCTTACAGTCATCATGTTTCAGAGCAGCTGGCACTGTTTCAGTTTTGCTTCTCTAAACTTCCTATCCAGTACAAGATGACAAGAACAGACAGCACAGTCTCCAGCAGCTGTCTATCTGCGAGCTTGGAGAAGAAAAAAAGGAGGGGAGTGACTTGCCTTGCCGTGTCTGTGTGTTTGTAATGCTACACACAGTTTACTCGCACACACAAGGGCGGCTTCATAGGACTTGACAAAGTTCAAATGAAAATTTAAAGAAGCCAGGTGAAAAATGATCGGCCGAACAACTGAATCCAATCAGATATGGTCACCGTTACAGTATTTAGACAGCTGCGGGTGCCAGCTGTCTGTATACAACAGCTGACAGGGGCTACGCCTCCATCCACGCTGTGTGGAGGAATCTATTAGGTTTCACTAGCTCAGGCGAATGAAACGAGAAATATATGCATGTATGAACTACAATGTGGACTACAATGCGTTACCGCACTTGTAGCCCACAAACACACAGGCACAGCAGGGCAAGCCACTTCCCGTCCCCCTACCCCCCTTTCCTCATTCCTTCTCCAAGCTAGTAGATGATCAGCTACTGGAGACGGCTCTGTCCTTTGTTATATTGCACGATGCAGGAAGTTCAGTCAAGCTGAGCTGAGAGAGTTAGAGCCAGCTGTTAGGAAACATGATTACTGGAAGTGTTTGGACAAAAATGTAAAGAAATACTTTGCAGGGCAATGTACACTTGTGATTAAAAGTTTGCATATCCTTGGAGAATTTGTAATATATGTACAATTTTTCCAAGTAAAATTTTTTTATTGATGCAAGTAAGAAAGTGGTGACAAGGTAAAACATGTAAAGGTATAGTACATCAATATAGTTTACAATATTACGTACATGGATCTGGTCCTGGAATATAGAAACGTTTACCATGGCAGATTCTCCAGTAGACAGGGTAAGCGTCAGACTGCGCTCTTCTCAATGATACCGGGGGTGTGTCATTGGTGGGTATCTCTTCTTATGAGAGTCTAGGCTATGTTAGGTAGGGCTTGATGGTAATGTGCAGAGTATAATTACAAGGGGAGTTAGGTGTTTAGGTGCGGTAGTTATAGCAGGTATTCCAGGATCAGACGTATTCGTCAACAGTATTATAAATGGTGGCATGAGGGAGGGGAGCTTAATATATGTACAATTGTTAAAGAAAACATGAGTGGGCACATCGCTTTTATTGCTTATGGGATTCATATTCAGCTGGAGGTCATAACAGAATGGCACAGTCATAAAACAAAACATGGCAGCAAAGAAAAAAATGAAATGACCCGTTCAAAAGTCTCCTTACCCGTAGTTCTTAATACTGTGTATTGCTCCCTTTAGCATCAATGACAGCGTGCAGTCTTTTGTAATAGTTGTCTATGAGGCCCCGAATTCTTGCAGATGGAATAGCTGCCCATTCGTCTTGGCAAAATGCCTCTAGGTCATGCAAAGTCTTGTTGTCTTGCATGAACTGCACACGTATAGATCTTCCCAGATGATATTGCTCGATGATATTAAGGTCAGGAGACTGTGATTGCCACTTCAGAACCTTTACCATTTTCTGCTGTAACCACGGGAGGGTCAACATGGCCTTGTGCTTATGTGCAGCTTTCGTGAAGAAGAATGCAAAATTGTCTGCCAGTATTTTCTGATAACATGCTGCATTCATCTTGCCATCAATTGTCACAAGATTCCCGTGCTTTTAGAGCTCACACCCACCCAAAACATCAGTGAGCCATCTCCATGCTTAACAGTGGGGATGGTATTCTTGTTGCTGTAGGCCTTGTTGGCCCCCCTCCAAACATAGTGCTTATGGTTGTAACCATAAAGCTCTATTTTGTTCTTGTCACTCCAAATTACAGTGTGCCAGAAGCTGTGAGGCCAGTCAAGGTGTTGTTGGGCATATTGTAACTGGGCTTTTTTGTGGCATTGGCGCAGTAAAGCCTTCTTTTTGGCAACTCGGCCATGCAGCTCATTTTTGTTCAAGAATAATCGTATTGTGCTCCTTAAGACGACCACAATGTCTTTTTCCAGAGCAGCCTGTATGGAGGATTTTCTTTGTACTCCGAACAATTTTTCTGGCAGTTGTGGCTGCAGTCTTTCTTGGTCTACCTGACCTTGGCTTGGTATCAATAGATCCCTGAATGTACCACTTCTTAGTAAGTGATTAAACAGCACTGACTGGCATTTTCAAGGCTTTAGATATCTTTTTATATGCTTTTCCATCTATGCCAAACTATGTGATAATAAATGGCTTCATATGATCACCACCCTCAAATAAAAGACAGTTTTTTTGGCATGATCAGTCATATTTTCAATATAAATTTCACCGTTTCTGCTAGGGTATGCAAACTTATGAGCACAATTGTATATTTGTTGGATCCTGATTCATTTAAAAAAAAAAAAAAAGGTTGAGAGTTTAAAGGAGAATTATGGGATGAGTGAAATACACTCATCCCATAATTAGAGCCGAAGTGTGACACTGATGCTGTCACACGTTGGCTCTACTGATCGAGAACTGAGTGATCACATACCGCAGATCGCTCAGTTCATGATCTTCTCCCTGCAGACAACGGTGACTGTCAGTCACTGCTCACTGCAGGGATTCCCCCCTCCCCTCATAGTTGGGTCATAGTTCTCTTTTAATATTACTTTAAATTGATAAGTGAAATGTCCACACTAATTAGAGGGTTAGGAAATGAACAGTGAAATGCAGTACTTGCTTTAAAAGATCCAGACAGGTAGGCGTAAAGCAGCCCCCCTCTCCATATTCACCAGCACCTTCTAGGTTTGCAGCTTTCAATTGTCTTGATGCCACAGCTTCTTTCCGGCCTGTCAGCATACACTGAGCTGCACATGCACTGGAAGTACACCATCCCGGCCAGGCCAATCAAGACAATTGAAAGCTGCAAACCTAGAAGGTGCTGGTGAATATGGAGAGGGGGGCTGCTGCCATTGCTGGAGAAAGGTACTTTGAAATGTAAGCCTGCTATAATGTGCAAATAGCATACTTGGACATTAAGGGTGCCCAAGAATTTCTAAGCGATTTAGTGCAGCTTTAAGTGCCAAAAGTAACTGAAACAGTTCACACAATATTTATACATGAACTCCAAAATATCCTAAAGTAAGTATTCATGCTACTATTAACAGCAAAAGTTATTACTATAACACAACTAATAATGCTGCTACAACAAGTACTTTAAAGCTGAACTCCAGGTAGTATAAAATACAAATGAACACAGCTTTGCATTCATTAATACATCATCATATGTGCATGTAGCTAGTGTAAAATAGCAATATTTTTTAACATCTTTTAAAATCTCCAGTACGGCAGAGTTCAAAGTGGGAGATGGAGGAGGGAGGACTGGAATCCAATCAGGTGTGCAGCATACAGATGTGTTGACAAGAACCATGCTGATAGGCTCAGCTTTTTGCCTGGAGTTCAGCTTAAAGAGGCACCATCTTCTGCAACATTTTATGTAGTAGGACACTTATAGAGGGCATGAGATTTTAAAAAGTAGAAAAAAACAAAATACATTTTTATGGAAATATAAAAAAAGCCATACCTTCCAGATTATTAAATTCTTCTGACAGAAAATGATAACAGCAGCCAACACTGCAAACGGCTTTAACTTCTGGTTTTGCGGCAAAAATACGCAATGTATTTGGAGCAAGATCCCCACACGTATGCAAGCCAACCATAATGGATTCCTACAAACAGAAACCACACACATAACATTTTACAATAAGGGCACCAAAACTTGGTACTATAACTATACGCAAACACACTGTATGTTGTAAATGCAGATAGGTAAAGTAATAGGGAACCCACTGACATAAATTTTATTCTCAAATTTTGAGAAAAACATGATGTTGCTTAATGACAATGAACCTCAGCAGCCAGATCTCGGGAGGGAAACATCTGATGACTTCTGTGTCTAAGCACAATAGAAGTGTGCATGTCTTTTAGCCCATTTGATGGATAGGTAGCTGTTTTTATGCCAAATTAAAATAAAGTTATATGTGGAGAAGATCCCTGTCAGTGAGTGGTGTTTTAACATCATGGACTGACAAGATGGAGCAAGAACCTTTGCTGTACCCTGGGGGCCCTTCAGGCATGACAATTTGATGGGAGGAGGTTTGAGCTGGTTTGAAAAACATAACATTGTATTGTATTGGATTTAAAGGAGAACTATGGGGTCAGGGCTTTTCCCCATAGTTCTCCTTAGGGTAACGGGAGGACACAAACTAGCGCCCTCCCGTTACCCTAAGCTCAGTATACCGCGAGCTACAGCTCGCGGTATACTGAGACGCTGCAGCCGGAGCGGATCCCGACATCGATGTCAAGATCCGCCCAGCTGCGTGAGTGACAGCATGCTCTGCCTATCTAGAGGCAGAGCCAGCTGTACCCGCCCCCTCCGCCGTCTGTTCCGCCAGTCAGCGCTGGCGGATCGGAGCGGGGGGAATCCAGCCCCTCCCCTGTTACGCCAGAGAGCCGTGACAGGATCGAGAGGTGAGCGAACGCCGGTATATGTTCGCTCATCTCCCGATCTACTGAGCCGACCTGTGACAGTCTCATTGTCACAGGTCGGCTAGAACTATGAGGTGAGTGAGAAGCACTCACCTCATAGTTCTCCTTTAAGAATGGCTGACAGCCATCTAATAACTAATAATGATCTGCACAACACAATCTTTTTTCTGGGACTATTAGTGGTATCAAACAAAAGAAGTGTATTATGTGTAATCAACCCACCAAAAACTGACCAAGACCCTATTTGTGCATCTCTGCTTTACCCTAATGTCTCCTAACATGAAACCTATACAAATAGCCCAAGAAAGATTTATACTAGGGATGCACTGAAATTTTGGCAAAACATATTGTTCGAAAATGACACTTTTGGGAAAGTGCCAACTTTCGAGCCAAATTGAGGTGCATGCCTGGTTTCTCTTCTCCTTGCTGTGCGCTGCCCTGTGTCTCCTCTGACACCGTGTAGCGTCCAGCAGGGAGGAGATTAACTGTCAGCGGAGGCCAAGCGGTGCGCGGGAGGAGAGCTCTGTGAGGGGCCGGGGTGTCACAAGAGGCCGGGCAATCAGTGATCGCTGACTATTTGTAAATAATTGCAGACAGAGTATGTTGACTGTGTGCCTAATCATGAATGAATGAGACAAGCTCTACATCACTTCCTGTTCATTCATGGTTGTGGACATGGTAAACATACTATCTCCACAAGTTATGAATGAACAGCAGCACTCAGTATAGAGGATTCCTGTTCATTTTAACAGGGGCTGCAGAAAAAGAGATTGAGGACTCTGTTTCCTCAGTCTCTTTTCCTATTTCTGTTTAGACCCCTAATATTTCCCCAGAGCCCCCAACAGTAAAGTTACAAACAAAATATTTGTATTTAAAAAATATATCTAATATATATATAAGCCTCATTTCCCACCCTCGGCTTATATTCGGGTCAATACTTTTTCCCAGTTTTTTTTGGTAAAATTAGGTACCTCGGCTTATGTTCGGGACAGCTTATACTCGAGTATATACGGTAAATATTTTTAAATAATTAAAAAGGTTAGAGAAAAAAATTATTTTCGGCTTTAGTCTGACATTTTGTTTTTATTTTCGGTTTCGAAATTTAATTTCGGTGCTCCTCTTATTCATACAGTTACAGAGAGGCAGAACAGATAAAAATATTATATGATGATATAGACTTAAGTTGCAATACAAAGAGCATAATATTAGGGATGCACCGATATATCGGCCGAAAATGGCACTTTTGGCATAATGCCGAAAGTGCCATTTTCCTGCCGATACATTGGCGCATCCCTGATTTCTTTCCTCCCCGCTGGGCGCTGCTCTAGTTTGTACATAATTGAGGCCATGGTATGTTAACTATATCCTCAATTATGAATGAATGGGAGTGATCAACATCTCCTCCTGTTCATTCATAGTTGTGGTTATAGTAAACAATGTACTTATGTTATCAATGAACAGGAATCCTGTTAATTGATAACAGGGGACACAGAAAAAGAGATTGAAATATAATAGATACAAACATAAGAAAAAGAAAGGGATTTCTAAAATCTGAAAGGATTTCATTTCAGACCTGTTTTCAAGTAACTTGCAGTTTTGATGAAATCTGAAAATGATAACAGATACTGAAAATGAGCATGACAAATACCAGAGCAAGTCCAAGGCTGATCCATTTATAGTCTAGTAGGGAAAATACAAAAGAAAAAGGAAAATCCTCCTGCACTGTGAAATTAATTAAAACCTGCTTTCTGGATGTCACAGATGAATGACAGCTGTTTACACATGTAAAGAAAGATGAAAGAGAGATAACCTCTAGATCAGCAATTATTTCATGGAGCTCCGTCTCAGCAGTGATATAGGAAGTGAGGGGTGAATAAACATGTGACTCCTTCAGGTTTTTGGCCTTTATGTTTTCCATTTTCCTTCTCTCTTTTTCTTGTTGAGTGAGAACTTTGCAAACATTTTTAGACAAGGCGGGCAACTCAACAGCCCCTGTGGGTAAAACATCCAAAAAGGAGCAAGCGTTACATGATGAATCCACTGTATCTGTAGTCTGTATTGGATGAACAGTGTTACTGCAGTCTTGCTGGTTTGCCCACTCAGAAGAATAAGAGAAAAGGCTCATTTTGTCTTGAAATGAATTTAAAATAGATGGCCCTTCTAGTCTTAAATCATCCACTTTCAGTCTTGAAATGTCTTGATCAGCATTTGTATCTGGACAATGATTTGTTGGCAATAAACTTTCTTCCTTTTGGTCAGATTTCTGAGCGTTTGAAGTGGTTCTGGCATTTATTTTATAGACTTGCCAATATTTTTTCAATTTCCGGTTTCTCTTGTTAGCTCCATCTGTATTGGTATGAGAAGAATCAATCCCATAAACGTTTAGGCCATAACGCATAGATAAATATGAGCTTAAATAACCTTTTCCAGCTCCCAAATCTATAACCTACAAAGAAAAGCAGAAATAACCTGTAAATAAATAAACAGCAC